TATATCACCATGAGTGAAAGGGTTTCTGGACATTTCACAGTTATATATTTGAGTTGTGACAACCAACTTTGATCTGTCCTGGTTAAATATACCACTATATTCAATGTGTATACTGAATTTTCCTTTGTTTGAGCTGGTTAATGGTACCACATCCTGAAACAATGATTGACTCGTTCTCTTTGCTGTCTTTACTGACTACCCCATTGACTGAGGTTGAAAACAACCCACCTTCTGCTGAACTGTTAACCTAGGGATGATCTGATTAACGTTAACAGAGAAGAGCAGGGCTGAGCTTTGAAAAAACCTGCCTCCTACTGAACCCAAACTCCAACACAAAGATTACCTAATCTTAGCAGAAGGGAGAGGAGTGATGTGGGTGACAAGGAGCACAATAAGGCCAAGGTTGAAAAAAAAAAATACGCACCACATACTGAACCTTTATTCCAATCCTGCTCTCAACTAACAAAAATATTTAACCCTGTACCAAATCATCTTACTAACTACCACAGGATCTATGCAAAAGGTGTTTTGCCCCAAACGTATCAATCTCCTCCTCTGAACCCATCTAACACCAAGTCAGGCCATCTCACTAAACCTAACCGAGGACAAAGGTTACTTCACCCCTAACCAAATCTAAGCCCTAATCGTAAGCACTGAATTACTCCAATTTACTCATCAATGGCATACCGTATTGGGGAGCCCAAGTGACATGCGCCGGCCTGTGCATTGTCTTTGCCTCAATCCCAAACTGCCTTGAATCACATGGAACAGGAAGAATTATCAAGATGGAAGTACTTCACCTACCCCTGCTACACACATTTAATCAGACATTAAAACGTTTCAAGCCAATGGCATGGAAACACATTTAGTGCTAATTTTGTAGCCCAGAGAAAACATGCCAGAGGTCATGTACTGATAAGGAAACAAAGTATAAGCTTTTCTTAGTCAGAGGCACTTGTTATTGGTTGTGCAACAATTCAGGGAGTGGTTTAAGAACAGGAAACATACCAGCCTGTCAAAGCCTCCTGTGTACAGACCTGAACTCTGAGTAAATGAAAATGAGCAGGGTTTCTGTCATATTGCCAAACCTGATCTCTTGAAGTACTATGCACTCTAGGGGCTAGAGTGTAGAAGGTGTGTACATTACCAAGCACGAAGAAGCAGTGACACAAAGCCATTTTATTCACTGTAACAACAGGTGGCAGCATTATCTTCAGTTTTTCTGCAAGGCAATGATAATTGAAATTTCATCACACTCTGTGTGTCATGTGATAAGGGGCGAATCAAAGCAGCCACAGTTTGGGCAGAGATGGACCAGAAGATGAGCAGTGAGCTCTTAACTCGCTCTGAGGTTAAGTGTCTAGAAACTTAACTTTACTTAAGGTTGGTTCAACTGCATAGATTTCTATCTGCACTAAATTCCAAACAAAAAACATTTTAGAGGAACATTTGAAGTGACAGGGGCCTAGCAAAGGAGACACAAAACCTCAAAGGAGAGCAATTCACTGGGGAACATTTCAGTGTGGTAATCAAAAAATGCCAGGGAATGAGACCATGTTGACTGTAATGTTCTGTATCTACTGTTTCACTTGTCAAGCACTGAAAGGAGGTGAGTTTGGAACAAAAAGGTCTTGTTTTATGTCTTTTGCCAATACCAAAAATCTAAATGTTACATGAAATATCAAGAGAGCTCTCTGCTAAGAGGGTGTGAAGTTCTTTCAGAGTCTCTGGTTGGTGTTGTTTTTACAGTTTACTTACTCTTTGGACTGTGCTACTTTAGAGCACAGTAATTATCTGTAGATGATTAGACTTCTTTGTCATTTGTATTATTTGCACAGGGAGATCTTGCTAAAAAGAAAATCTATCCAACTTTGTGGTAAGTAAACACTCGCCGCTCATATACTTATGTCAGAGTTGCTCTGACATTGTTTGTTTCACTTGTATTATGAAGCGTTTGACCCTTGGCCAGTGCTCTTGAAACAATGCTTTTGACTCTGCCATTTTAGGTGGTTATTCGGAGATGGCCTGCTCCCAGATAACACCTACTTTGTAGGGTTTGCCCGGTCTAACCTGACCGTGGAGGACATCAAGACAGCATGTCTGCCTCATATGAAGGTTGTACATCTAAGCTTCTTTGTTTGCTGTCTGAAACAAGATTGTGTTTTCATGAATCATTGCTCAGTATTTCCCTCAGGTCACTGATGAGGAGCGTGAGCATCTCTCAGCCTTCTTGAGTAAAAACTCCTACCTTAGCGGCAGGTATGACGACAGCAGCTCCTTTGTCCAGCTCAGCACCCATCTGTCATCTGTGCCTGGGGGAACGGACGCCAACAGACTCTTCTACCTGGCTCTGCCACCGACTGTCTACTACCATGTCAGCGCAAACATAAGAACCCACTGCATTAGCCACAAGTCAGTATCTTCCAGTCCATAAGGACAATGGTTTAGTTGCTGTTTGATCACATGGTTCTAATTAGCTCTATTTGTAAAGCAGAGGCTGGAACAGGATAATAGTTGAGAAGCCCTTTGGCCGTGACCTCCAAAGTTCAGAGGAGCTGTCAGCTCACCTGTCCTCCCTGTTCACAGAGGACCAGATCTACCGCATAGACCACTACCTGGGCAAAGAAATGGTCCAGAACCTCATGGTGCTAAGGCAACAATCTCCATACGCACATTTATACGCACTTTACCACTGGAAGAATGTTCTCATACATGAATATGTCTGAATTTCAGGAGTATTATCCTTCATCTCATCTGTCCTGTGATCTATTTCAGCAGCATTTCATTTTCTCTCTTTCAGGTTTGGAAATCGCATCTTTGGACCTATATGGAACAGGAACAGTGTGGCCTGTGTGGTTCTCACCTTCAAGGAGCCTTTTGGCACTCAGGGTCGTGGAGGATACTTTGATGACTTTGGTATCATTCGGTGAGAGTGTACATTCATATAAATGTAAAAAGAAAAAAAAAACTGGATATATATTTTTACAGCTATTTATACACTGCAAGCTTTAACTGATTTCAGTTCGCTCCTGTTAATGTAGAGACATTATGCAGAACCATCTCCAGCAGATGCTCTGTTTGGTTGCAATGGAGAAGCCTGCTTCCACCAGTCCCGATGATTTGAGGGATGAAAAGGTAACACTAGTGACTGGTTAACAGGACACTGCAGAATTTTTTGTCTTCAAGCCATCAACCATATCATTTTAATCCAGCTGTCCTGTTTTTGTTTTCTGATATGCTGTAGGTGAAAGTGTTGAAGTGTATAGCTCCTGTTGGAGTGTCAGATGTGGTGCTAGGCCAGTATGTTGGGGACCCTGCGGGGGAGGGCCACTCCAGACTGAGTTACCTTGATGACCCCACCGTACCAAAAGACTCCTGCACACCAACATTTGCCACAGCAGTACTGTATGTTCAGAATGAAAGATGGGATGGTGAGCCTAAATGCCTTTTTCCCTCTCTTCTCTTTTCACTTATTTGTTTCTACATGGTAAATTTATGACCGCCCCTCATAGTTTCTCCATCTAATATTTATCCTTCATGCCTGTGCTCACACATCGATCAGGAGTTCCTTTCATTCTGCGCTGCGGTAAAGCTCTGAATGAGCGGAAGGCAGAAGTACGTCTGCAGTTCACTGATGTGCCAGGAGACATCTTTGGCAAACACTGTCAGAGGAATGAGCTGGTGATACGTGTGCAGCCAGATGAAGCCATTTACCTGAAGATGATGACCAAGCGGCCTGGGGTTTACTTCAGCCTGGAGGAGACTGAGCTGGACCTCACCTACAAGAGCAGATACAAGGTCCTACTGCCTCACTCACATGTAGCCAGGTGTTAAAATACTTTTTTTTTTTTTTTTTGCACTGAGTTTATTTGCTTCTTCAGCACATACACGTTTCAAGAATTTTCTTGAATCAAGAAAATCACACTATGAAATGTCACGAGTGTTAAGGTTAGAAATTAAAAATAGTGTGGAGGTACAGAGATGTGTCAAACAGGCTCAACACAGTTTGTTAGAATTCAAAGGTTGGTCATTATATTAATCTTACCCTAACTTGTTGATTTGCATTAGTAACAAATACAATTATATGACAGGTTAATGCATGTTATTTAATTGGCTTCAGTGAAAACAGACACTATGCAGGATTAAATGATGCAGTTACTGTGTTGTTTTGGATTGATTTGCAATATAGTGGAAGTTTCCTTGTCTCTTGTGTGTCCCTGGATACTGTAAATCACTGAACCTGAAATAAGGATTATGAAGATTTTTTTTTAAAGGCTGCCATCTCCTTTCAGAATGTGAAGCTGCCAAATGCTTATGAGAGACTGATACTAGATGTCTTCTGTGGAAATCAGACGCACTTTGTTCGCAGGTTGGCACCATTTATTGTCAGTGAGGAAATACACAATGGGAATATTTATTGACCTAAAAAAAGCATTTGACAAAATCAATCATGAGTTATTAATGGATACGTTAGGAAAATATAGGATCAGGGGATTGGTTTTGAATTGGATTAGAAGTTATTTGACACAGAGGCGTCAATTTGTGAAGTTGGGTGAATACCAATCGAGTGAGCTGGATATTGTATATGGAGTGCCTCAGGGTTCTGTTTTGGGACCTAAATTATTTATACTATATATTAATGATATATGTAAGGTTTCTGATTTAGTGAAAGTGGTTTTGTTTGCTGATG